ACCCACACACACACACTCACACAGACGATATTTGCAGGAATCCAACTAAAGCAGGCCTGGGAGTACCTCTAGGGAGAATATACTCTGGGTGGAATTCTGGAGCATATTCACCACTGTTGAGCTAAGTGGGGTTGATGATAATCCCTATCACGTGATAGTATCAAAATTTCTAAGACTCACTGGATGAGGTTTGACAGTATCAAAATTTCTGAGACTCAGGTGGATGAGGTACAGGTGGATAGTAAAATACTGGGTTATGTGTTAACTCTAGCACACTAACATTGTGTGAACCATGGTAACTATCAAAATTGTAAAACTGTAGGAATAGAGATAGCTTTAGTTAACTTCCTTGCAATACTGGAAGAAACAGAATAATAGGTCCACATCAGCCAACTACCAAGCCAGAGGCCATTGTGAAAGTGAGAAACCTTCTGAGGTGACATTTGATAAGTCACGACTCTTTTGCAGTCACATGACTTAGTGGGAAGATGGAAGTGCTACATGGCCAGGGTGTGTGTGTGTGGCTGAGTGTATAGCATAAGCAAGTCTCTATGTTATACACTTAGATTTTGCAGTCAGAAGTTTTAAAATGGGAATATTACTGTGGATAATTGGGTAGAGCCTGAATGTCATCACAAATGTTCTTATAAGAGGGACAGATGAATATTTCACTACTAAGGAAGAGAAGGCATGCTGGTGAAGGGAATGAAGATGGGAGTGATGTGGCCACAACCAACAAAATGCCAGAAGCCACTACAAGAGACAAGAAATACATTCTCCCCTGGAGCTTTCAGGAAGAAGTAGCCTTGCAGAAACCTTGAAGTGAACTATGTAGGACTTATTTTTTACCTCTGGAACCATGAAAATAATTTTTTTTAAGCCATTAAGTATATGATGATTTGTTACTGAAGAAGGAGGGAGTTGTTCACTGACCAATACATCCTGCCAGGAACTAGAAGTTCCACCAGCTCCTGGAGAAATAATGGTGAGAATGGATCCTGAGGACCAAGGCAGTGGAGTTGAATATAAAGGTGCACAGTGGGAGTTAATTGACATGTGACTATATTTTCCTCTTTTACTTCAATCTCCCCTTCACCTCCCCGCCCCCTCCTCATTTACAAAGCTTTGTTTTCTTTCTTTCTTTCTTTCTTTCTTTCTTTCTTTCTTTCTTTCTTTCTTTTTCTTTCTTTCTTTCTTTCTTCTTTCTTTCTTTCTTTCTTTCTTTCTTTCTTTCTTTCTTTCTTTCTTTCTTTCTTTCTTTCTTCCTTTCTTCCTTTCTTCCTTTCTTCCTTTCTTCCTTTCTTCCTTTCTTCCTTTCTTCCTTTCTTCCTTTCTTTCTTCCTTTCTTCCTTTCTTCCTTTCTTCCTTTCTTCCTTTCTTTCTCTCTTTCTTGTCTTTTTGAGACAAGGTCTCACTATGCAGTTCAGGCTGGTCTTGAGCTCACTTTGTAGCCTAGGCTGGTCTTGAACTTGCAACAATCCTCCTGCCTCAAGTTGGTCCTATTAAAATGCTGAGATATTTCCTTCAAGATTGGGTGAGATGATGATGGAGATGCCAGCACTGCCTTTGAAGAATACTGAAGGAGTCAGAAGGCTTAGAGGGTAGGGAACTTATCTGGGAACGGAGGAATCATTGATTAAGTTCCTGCAGAAGGTCCAGAGGACATTCCCGTTATTAAAGAAATAAGAAATGTATTGGTGAAGGGTAAAGATGATGGGTAAAAATAGCTGTGTTATAGTTTTAATTTATATTTCTCTGCTAATTAGTGATGTCGAGCATCTTTCTATATCTTCTTTTGTTAAGTATTTTTTGACATCTTTCGCCCATTTTTGCTGCATTTTTTGGTCTTCCATTAGAATTGTACAAAGGTCAAAGTTTCCAACTGGTATCACTTTCCTGAAGAATTTTACAGAATTTCTTGTAGGGTAGGTTTGGTAGCAACAAATGACAAATTCTCTTAGTTTTCTTTGATCTGGAAATGCCTTTATTTGAGGCCAATCTTGTAGGATATTTTCACTGGATACAAATTCTATTTGGCAATGTTTTTAAAAAGTATGGTGAAGATATTATATCACTGTCCTTTGTCTCTCATGATTTCTCATGAGAAGTCAGCTGTTGATCTAATTTTCTACTTTGTAATATGCTTTTATTCTAGTTTGTAATTTTCTAGTTTGTAAAATGTCTTTATTCCTTTCTGCTTTCAACAGTTTTTCCTTACCTTTCAGTTTCAACAATTTGACTACAGTGTGGCTTAATCTGGGCTTGTTTGTGTTTATTCTGCTTAGCGTTTAGCTTATCATGCTGCAAGTATTTTTCATAAGATTTGGAAAGTGTTGTCAATTAATTTTTCAAATTAATTTTCTCCAACTTCTCCTGAGATTCTTATTTCTCATATGCCGGATATTAAAAATATTATCTGCTCTTTTAAAAATCTTAGTTCTCTCTGTTCTTAAACTTGGATAATTTTTCTTGATCTTCAAGTTTGTTTAGCCTTTTTCCTGGCATGTCCTTTTGGTTATTAAATATTTTGAGTAAATTTTTATATTTTTCAGTTTCAAAATATTGTTTCAATTTATTTGCTGAGATTTTCATTCATTGAAAACATGGTTTTTGCTTCAGAAACTTAATTTAGGGTAATTCTAATAGCAGCTTTAAATCTTTGTTAGCTTTGATTTCTAGTTCATTTCAGGGTTGGATTTGATAGATTTCCTTTTTCTAGAAAGTGTGTACCATTTTCTTGATTGTCCATATGCTGGATAATTTGGGGTTGTATCCTGGACATTATGAATATTCAGTTCTGGAGATTTTATATTTGGTTATTTATTGAGGGTTATTTCCTGTATTTTAGCAATTAATTCTCTTAGCTACGCTTGCAAGCTTGCTTTTCAGGTAGAAGCTCTTGTTCAATCATTTCCATATAATTAAACACATATGTTATTGTGATGGGACAATTATTATCAGTTGGGGAAAAGTTAGAACATACATAAATATAAGCTCTGGATACATCAAATATTTGCCTTAAAGAGAAATGAAAAAGGTATTAGAAAATATTACTGACAGATTATTTATACAACATTAAGAGGGAAATGTCTTTTTCTGGACATATGACATAAAACAAAGAGGTAATTATTTAAAAGTTCATAGAAATGTGAAACATAAATGCTCTAAACTAAGTTAAAGACAAGTTGGGAAAGAGGGGTTGTGTTTGTAGCACATGTGACAAAGTTACTATCATAAAACATAAAGAATGTCTACCAATCATTATAAATATTATACAATGTACAATTTTGTAGTAGTTAAAATAAATTTAATAAATATTAAAAATTAAAATTAAAAGAAAAACAAACTATCCCAATGGGGAGAAAATGAAAAGGCAATTTGCAAAGAAGAAATGACAAATATGCAAAATCTATCTCATCACACTCATTATTGGGTTAAATAACCTTTAGTCATTGTGATCTGATCAGGCCCGCAATCTCCCAAGTAAGTGGATGGCAAAGGCTTAAACAAATGAGACAATTGAAATTATTTCACGGCTCCAGGAGGTTGTAACTCGCTTACAGCTCAATATTCTCTGAGTTGAGACAAAGACTTCTCTGGGCAGCCTGTATTTATTTGGTTTTCAAACAAAGGAGGAGGATACACAAGAAAACACAGAAATCTAGCAGGACCTTGGGAGAATTTCCCCAACTAGTAAATTATGTCAAGCAGGAAAGCTACCTTATGTTTAGGTTTGTATTTGTTGTAGGAGTATGGAGCCTGCAGCAGCAGTCTCCTTGCAGTTAATTGGGGTTGGAGCCAAATGCCCTCAGCTGTCGCCTTATCTTGTCCTTTGAGGTATCACAGCTTCACAGACCAATACAGACCTCAGGGTGACCAGGGACTCACAGAGGTTTACTTACTATGAGTCCACTGCCCACCCTCAGTCAAGGTGCCTAAGCTTCAGACAACTCACAAGTAAACATGGAAAGCCAATTGGTTAATATTAAATCCTGCTCAGAACTACTTTGTAGTGTTCTCCAACAACCCATAAACAAAGAAATTCCCATTAAAGCATCATTCAATAGTTCACTTAATTTTTAAAGATAAAGGATATATTTACTATAGCAGCGAAGTCAAAGATATGAGGTAACAAGCATTCTCAGACGCTGCCAATCAAGATGAAAAATGGCACACATTTTTTAATGAAAATAAAAATAGAATTCTGCCCAAATTTTCATGCTGCATCCATATTTCCTTCAGCATACATACAAATTATTTTCATAAACTTAAGTAGTAGAAGTAATTTAAAATGTGTGGAAAGATATGTAAATATTGAGCTCCATGTTATTAGCAATTGCAAAAATAGAAAATAAATTACATCTATAGGGGTTTGGTTAAAGAGACTATAGATTGCACATAAATTGAAAGATAGATTTGTAGGGTGATATAAGAATTATACTATGTAATATGAGGGAAAAGTAAATTATAAAATAGTATGATTTTTGAATGTGTATGTATGTGTTCACTTGCCTGGACAGCTAAACACCAAACTATTAACAATAATTAGGTTTTAAAAATGGCTTTGTTTTGACATCTGTTTTAAGATAGCTCAATCACAATGAACCTGAGGGAAAAATATGCCCCCACAGTGGTGGTGGTGGTGGTGGAATTCTGGGGTACTCCTAGAAACCCAAGCTGTAACTTATCAAGTAGTCCTTTCCTGTATGGCGTGAGCCTCTAAGGATTCACAGCTTCCTCGGTTTCCCTTTTTTTCTCAGAAAATTTGACACAGTGACTGAAATTGTAATTTGTCAGAGGGAATGATGGGAGAATCTATATATTCATTGCCTATGATTGGCTAGAGGGCTTCTTTGGGATACAATAATTTTTATTTTCATGAACGTCCTCAATCTCAGGGAGAAAGCAGTAGTTCTGGCCATTTGTTTTAGACCCTGGCTCTGGAGGATTTTTTCTTAAGTCCAAAAAGATTCAGGGAAGAAGAGACACTTGCACCCTTCTCAAGCCAGCGACCTCCTCCCCAGGAGCACCTTCCAGAGGGCACTCTGCACATCGGGGTTCCTGAGGCTATAGATGATTGGGTTCAGCATGGGATTTATAACAGTGTTAAAAATTCCAACAGCTTTATCCTTATTGGAAAGTTTGGCTGAACCTAGTCGCATGTAGTTAAAGATCCCTGAACCATAGAATATGGCAACTACAGTGAGGTGGGAGCCACATGTGGAGAAGGCCTTCTTCTTGCCCTCAGCAGAGCGGATTCGAAGGATGGCAGCTGCCACATGGGCATAAGAGGTAATAATAAGGACCATGGGGGTACCCGCCATCATGAAACCCACAGCAAAGAGCAGTAGCTCATTGAGTTGAGTGCTGGAGCAGGAGAGTTGGAAGAGCTGTGGGAGGTCACAGTAGAAGTGATTGATCACATTGGGGCCACAGAAGTTGAGTGTGGATATGGCCACAGTATGGGTTAGTGCATTGGTGAAGGAACATACCCAGGACACAGCCACCAATATTCTCTGGACCGATGGGCTCATGCGGGTGCTGTAGGTGAGGGGCTGACAGATGGCCAGGAATCGGTCATAGGCCATGGCTGTCAACAGGAAGCAGTCCACCCCAACTAGCAAATGGAAGAAGAAGAGCTGTGTGAGGCAGGCTCCATATGGAATTGTACGCGTGTTGGACACAAGATGACCCAACATTGAGGGGATGGTGACAGTGATGCACCCAATATCCAGCACTGAGAGGTTCCCCAGGAAGAAGTACATGGGGGTGTGGAGTTTGGGCTCCACCAAGATGGCTGCTAGGATGCTGAGGTTGCCTCCAACTGTCACCATGTAGGCAAAGAGAAAAAGTACAAAGATAATTGACCATAGCTCTGGTGTCTCCACTAATCCTAGCAGGATGAATTCAGTAATGGCTGTTCCATTGGCTCCAGATTTTGACTGCATGAGTTCCTATAAAGAAACATTAAAGGAGGAAAAATTAGCAATCACAAATAGGTTTATTTATTAGAAAAGAAGAAACAGACCTTTCCAATCCTCTGCTATGTTTGCTGTTGCCAACTAAAGAGTTTTCTACTCCCTGAGTCACACTATACGTATCTCTTGCTACATTACCTCCATACTTTGCTTTATTCTCAGCTACAAGAACAGGTAGCATTAACACTCTGGCCCTCCCTCCTTTTGCTATCTGAAATAATCTCTTTATAGAGATTATGAGGAATAAAACTTTTGGGAGAAATGAATAAACAGAAAGTTTACTTCTGCTTTCAATTCAAAGGGTAAACTTTATATTTTCTCATCTCAGAACCTATTCTTTACAAACAAAGCAGAATAAGCATACAAATTCTGTCTTCAAAGCAACTATTAAATATGCAAATCCCAATCTATGAACCAGAAGAGAAGGCTGTAATGACAGTGGGCTTCAAGTAGAAGAGTGGCAAGAAGCAGAAAGAGGAAATCCATGGCCACAGAGAGCTAGATAAACACAGTTCTATAGAGGAAAAGGGAAACTAGTAAGAAAAAAAGCCAGAAGTCCTTGTTTGCAATAATGATGGTAGAGTGGAAAGTACTGAACTACTATGTTTGATCCTGAATGGGGTCCAAGAATCACAGAGCTAAATGAAGAATCAAATGCAGGCAGTTTGTACTTGTAGGTTGCTGATAAGGAATGGGAGTAAATGTGAGAGGAAAATACACTGTAACGGTTCTCCAGTTACCTGATCAGACTATGTTGTTTATAAACAAGTAGAGACTAAAATAATTTACTTCCAGCTTGGAATCACAGAAAAGTTTCTTTTAGCCTGGAACATGTTCTCGGTCTCTTCTGATACAAACAACTTCCGAACATATAGTTTAACAACGCGCCACTTCAGGAAAGGATGCAAAAACTGAGCAAGCGTAGGAACTACATAAGGATTCCACAAGAAGGAAGGAAGGAGAGAAAGAAACAGAATGTAAAATTCACTGCATGGAAGAAGATGGAGCTGATGAAGCAGAAGAGGATGGAACATGGAACAGATGAAAATTGTGACCAAATATTTCAACATCTCCGAAAAGCTCAAGAAAACATTTTCCTCTATAAAACAAGGGAACAGAAAAACAATATAAGAGCCAAAGAAACAGATGCTAAGAAGGACATGAAAATGAGCTTGGAGAAGATTGCAAAAATGTTAAGGAAAGTATAAAATAATCAAAGAAAGAAAAACAAAATTAGAAACACCATAGTGAAAAAATTCAACTAGATACATGAATTGTGTTTGAAAAGATAACAAAATGAAAGGGAAAATGATGAATACATGACAAGGCAAAAGAAATCCAACAGATATATAAAGAAATAAACTAATTTAATGAAAATATCAATTATTTAAAGGTAAATTTTTATGAGAAAATTTCCAGAAATTAGATACTACTTAAATCTACAAATGGAAAGTGTACATCTTGCCTCAGGAAAAATTATGATCAAAATTAAATGCTAGCAATGTTACATACCATTGTAGTATTCCTTAATGCCAGTTTTTTTTAAAGAACCAAGTTGTTAGGCAGAAAGAGACAAAAACTCATGTCAGTTCTTGAATAAAAAAGAAACTATGTACTCTCATTTCTCTGAATTAGTATTGAAAGTTGGACTATATTGGAAAAATTTCTGGTAAAGTGATCCACAAAATGTTATAGCTGTTTAACCTATAAAATTAACTTTGCAAAGCAAGAACTGAAGGATTCTTATTAACATTAGCTATTGTTGCAAAAGGTAGTGTGAGCATTTCTAACAGCCTTTAGTCAACAAAGAGATGTGCAAAATCTACTCTGTATGAACTGGTGATTAATTTTAAATTTATTTATAGGACTAAGAATAAAACATTGTGTAAATTATATATGTGGAACAAAACCTAAATGTCTTTAAAACCTGAAAGAGCAAAATGGTTATACTTAAATGAAAGGGAGAGAGGAAATGCAAGGTTGTATAAATGTGCTGGCTTTTCATCTCATATAGCTGAGTGCTTAAATATATTATTTATATTGAGGTAAATGTGCACAAGTGAGTAAAAAATGAAAAGATTAAGGTCATGTAGTCAAGAAAAAGGATGATAACAGCAGAAATGTACTAATTTCATCATTGTTTATACTAGGAAATTAGCAGACATGATGTAAAAACATACAGTTTTACAATTTACACATAAAGGTACTCCTACAACAATATTTTCACATTACCAAGGAAAGCATTCATAGGAAACAAAATAAAACAAACCTAGATCTTTCTGTAAAAGGAAAAAAACAATTTTTTATTTTAAAGATAAGGAAACAAAAACATATTAACAAATAGACATGAGTAAAATAAAACCAAAACAATAAAAGCAATATAGAATTTTAGAGAATGTGATAAGAAATTAACAATGGTTGCTGTATTGTATATTGTTATCTTCAAATTGATTACTCAGTTAAACAAATATTAGTCATGTAAGATTGATCAAACAATTAAACATTAACTGTTATTTTCTGTAAAGTAACAGAAATTAGTAATATAATTATTTTAGCTAAATTGTGTATATGTATATTATATATTACACATTACATATATACACATTACATATATATAATATATATATTATATATTCCCTTCTTTCTTTTCTCTTTTCCCTCGTCCTGGTTGTTCTATCCTTTTGAGCAGTTTCTGTCCCTTTCACAATATCTATTGTACCTTTTATATTTTATTTAGTCTTTGAGGTTGTTACACTAGTGAGACAATACGGTATTTACACATGTGAGTCTGATTTATTTCACTTATGAGTATGGTCTCTAGTTGCATCCATTTACCTATAAAAGCCTTGAGTTCATCTTTCTTTATAGCTCAGTAATATTCCATTATACAAAAACACCACATCTTTTTTATCCATTCCTCAATTGATGGACATTTGGATTGCTTCCATGATTTAGTTATTACAAATTGTGCTGCTATAAACATGGGTGCAGATATATCACTGTGGTATGATGCTTTTGTTCTTCTGAAAAAATACCCAATAGGGAAACAGCTGGGTTGAATTGTACCTCTAATCCTAGTTTACTAAGGAATCTCTAGATTGATCTCCACAATGGTTGCACCAGTCTACACTCCCACCAACAGTGGAGAAGAGTTCCTTTTTCCCCACAGACTTGCCAGGATTTATTATTGGTTGATTTCTTTATAATAGCTTTTCTTTCTGGGGTGAGATGGAATCTCAGTGTTGTTTTAATTTGCATTTCTCAAATGACCAATGATGTTGAACATTTTTTCATGTATTTATTTGCCACTTTTATTTCTTCAAGTGAGAAGTGTGTATTCATCTCAGATGCCCATTTTTTGTGTTGGGTCTTTGAATTTGAGGGGGCTGATTTTTAAAAATTCTTTATATGTTTTACATAGAAGTCCTTTGTCTGAGGGACAGTTGGCTAAAATTCTTTCCCAATTTGTGGGTTTTCTTTTTACCCTGTGATTTCTTTTTTTTTTTTTGTTTTTGTTTTGTTTTTGGTTTTTCTCCGGTACCAGGAACCGAACTCACGACCTTGCGCTTTCCAGGCAGGCGCTTTGCCCCTGAGCTAAATCCCCAGCCCCTACCCTGTGATTTCTTTAGATGTGCAAAAACTTTTCAGTAAGACGAGATCCCAGTTGTTGATTCTTTGAAGTATTTCCTGTGCAGTTTGGTTTTTGTTCATGAAATCTGCACCTAACCCTATGTCTTCAAGATTTTTACCTATTTTCTCTTCCAGTAAATTTAGTGTTTCTGTTTTAATATTTAAATATTTGATACATTTTGACTTGAGTTTGGTGCATGGTATTAGATATCTGTCTAGTTTCAGTCTTTGGCATGGGGCTAGCCAGTTTTTCCAGCACCATTTATTAAAGAGGCTACCCTTCTTCCAGGGAACATGTTTGACTCTTTTGTCAAAAATTTTCAAGAAATAAAAGCAAATGGCGTAAATGAAAAATAGAGCAAAATTAAGATTAAATATATTTACAGCAATAAAGTTGAATAGGCTAAGCTCATCTAATAAAAGAAACTAATTTCAAGTAATATCTAAAAAAAGTCCATCTCTAGGTTGATGCCAAAATACTTCATCTAAACACATCTAATAAGAAAAGTTAAAGATAAAGAAATACCAGCAAAATGTAAACAAAAATAAATATAATATAAGATCATTTTTAATTTAAAATTGTGGATGTAGGTCAGTGGTAAAACAAAAATAAAAATAAAATAATATAAAATAATATAAAGGCTATCTATAAGAAAAAAGAATGTCTTCTAGTCATAGAGTACAAAGTTATAGTAGTAGTGAAAATTATCACCCTAAATATATAGTATTGATACGTAAGCAAGAAGCACAGAAGTTTAAGAAGAAATAGCAATAAACAGAAGAAAAATAAGTGAGTTTTAGTGATTTTCAGTTCAAAATTACAGCTGTCAAAAATATAATTATATAAGACACAGAAATAAATGGTATGACCTCCTTTCCCAAGTGTCCCTGAAACCTTCATCTCCCCAAAATAAAAAGTCATAAATAAAGCATATAAACATCAGAAATTCAGCAGACTTCAAAAGAATAAACCATATATATGATACTATCTGATTACAACCCAATTTAAAGAAAAACATGATATTTTTAAAAAAGTCTTTAAGAAAGGGTTTATCAAATAGAATGAAAACTTAAGTTATCTGGGGAAGAGGAAAAAGGAAATAAAGAAATCTATCCACATCAGAACATTTAGTTTAAGTTCAGAAGAACTTAAACTAAATCAATGTTCAGAAGAAAATTCATAGCTTTAAATAAGTATGGTGTATTCAAATAAAAAATATTAAACAACCGAATCAAGAAATGAGAAAAGAAACAAACCATCAAGAATTGAGAAATAAAAATGATGAAAGTAAAACTCGATTAGCAAAAGAAATACAGAGCTAATAAACAAGTTCAAAAGGTTTTTTTCAGTG